TATTAATAAAATAATTTTTATTAATAACAAATTATAAGAGGAAAATTATTTAAAAAATTCCCAAAGTAAAATTCTTTTAAGCGTTATTTATGACAAGCAGGCTTAACACATCTTTAAATAAAAATAAAATTTATTGAACGCGATAGGAGAAACAAAACGATAAAGTAAAGGTATAGTCTATTTGCTAAGACACTGTCAGTACACCCGGAAGGATATGTGATACGCCCCTCCGGGCGTACATACACTATTTTAAATTTATTTTATTTTTTACTGTTTTAATTTATTTTAGTATTTTTTATTGTTCTTCTATGCTAAGAATAAAATAGAATACCATTTTATTGTTATGGTTATTGCAATAAAATACGAATATAAATAATAAACACAAATTAAGTAGCAAGGAAACTTTCAATATGGCACTTAGTTTTAAAATGCAAAATTTTCCTTGAGGTGTAGGTATGCCGCACGGACCTTTGAAGTCGCGGCGGCACATCTGACAAAATGCGGCACGTGACTAAGCGTCGGGACATAAAGGTTGTAAGCAAACAGACTATATAGCAAATATTATAAAGGAACTAAATTGATTCATCGCTTTAAAGTTTAAACAAAACAACTTGTTAAGAGTAAATAAATAAAACTAAAAAGAATTCCACTTTAAGGTAATCCAAGTTAACATAAAAGTCAGTAATGAAATAGCAAAACATGATATAAAGTAGGTATCTAACAGCAGCATTTGGTCAATCGTTTTGACGCTTGATAGTAACTGTTAACTTTATCAATGTTACCAAAATGGTAGCGTCATTCGAATAACAACAATGATATTAACAAACGAACCCAACTGTCCACGCGTACTAAGTCTTAACCATAGAATACTATAATACACAATAGAATGGCTGTCAACTTTATTTTGTACGAGCATTGGCGTCGCCAAACCCGATTCGCTGTGTTAACAGACTGAGTAAATTTACACATTTTAGACTTTGATTAATGATCAAGATCATTAAAAAATAAATCGTTTAAATTTTAATACATATTTATTTGTAAATAGCGTGCAATTTGGCATTTTCTAAATAAATGGCATGCAAAATTTGGAAACGATTGTAACGTCAAAACACATCTCGTGTTGACATTTATACGTGTGAATTGACTTGTTAGTGGCATTTTAATGGCTACGCAGGCTCCGCCCACTCCCCCGTTCTATTATGTATGTATTATAGTATTTTATGGTCGTAACATTATCGATAATGGATAAATTCCTTATAAACATTACTATTGTCGTATTATTTTAAATTACATGAACCAATTTCACCATTTCCTTTCCGTCATCGAACATCAAGGCACACGGTAGGTTCTTTTGCTTGTGAATATACCAATTATTCGTCGCATAGAATGCCTAGAGAAAACAAATGGAATGGATTTGCCAGCAACAGTCTCCCCGTCCGAACACAAAGCGATCGCGCTTTTTCTAAATTGTTCTGATTTATCTAGACGATAACTGGACAGCATTATTTTAATCATCAGGTTAGGAATGGCGATTCCCTTTAAAAATGTCGATTTGTAATGGATTCAGCAAAAAAGATCGATTTCTTAAAATCAATTTTTTATGTTTTATTTCTGACAAAAAATCTTTTGAGAAATAACGTCCGACCAGTCTTCAGGGTGTATGGTAACTATTGTACCTAAACAGAAAAACATTAAATCTCGATTATCAAGCATCCGAGATAGATTCACAGGATCGATCGATCCCTTGTGTTAAACAAGAGATCGATCCTATGATATCCGGTGATCGATTGATAAAACGATTACGATTTCATTTTCTTACACCCTGTTCAACTAATTAAATATGATTTTTAATTTAATATTAAAAGAATTGTTGATAGATACTCAAATGTTTGCTAAGTGATCTATACTTGGCGAACAGATGTTCTTAACATCTAAACCCAACTGAATAAAATATTAAGGCTAATTGAAAACATTCTATTACGAATTGTAATCGGTAATCTAATTGAATATAAAAAAATTTCTCATTAGAATTAAGTCAGCGTCATAACCATTAAGTTATTAAAAGCTGTAAAAACAATTAACAAATCGATTTAAAAAGGTCACAAAACGATATATTATTGTTTATAAAAACTATATAATCGATTTTAAACAAAACTTAATGAGGTATTCAATTGCAATTACTGGAATAAAATTGGTTTGGATAAGATAGCATGATTACTGTTGTCAAGCGGTGTTAGCCCAGATTAATTTCTACACTATAGAAAACTACAAATAAATGAAAATGATATATTTATCTGAACGTTATCGTATATCACATCTTACATACGTTAACTAGCACGCCAAAACCGAAGCTTCGAAAAATGTTTAATTAGCCACTTCGTTTTTTATTAAATATAATCCTTTGGCTAACAAGTATTTCTTTTTAATTAAGAATATTAACAATGCTACGAACATTACTAATATTCCCCTTAACCACTCGTGGTAAGCTTAAATTGCTTGTTACGAGTGGTTCACGCCAGTAGTCGAATGGCGGATTCGAACCCACGACCTTTTAAAGTTCGCGGTCCGCGCCCTGCCATTAGGCTACTGCCGCTTAAAAAGCATATAAAGTATGACATACATGATTACGTAAGCTTAAATACGGAACGTATTTTTTCTTTCTCTGATTTTGTGGGTAAATAACGCATCTATAAAAATATCATCGACTTAGCGTTGATTTCTTTCACTTTTAAAGTTTATGTATTACAGTAGACCCCCCGGTAATCCGATACCCCCTGTAGTCCGACATGGTCTATTATTTATTAGTACCCCGTTGACCGAGCTTTGCTCGGTATTTTTCGCTCTTTTTTTTTTAATTCGTGTGTTTTGGAAATTATATTTAGATACAATTTACATACTGATGAAATACGAACAATATTTTTTGATCTTAGCGACATAATAGAAAAAACTGAACTGGTTATTTGAATAAAAAATCATGAGTGCAATTAGTTTAATATAAATTTTCGTGTTTTTAAAAAATACTAAAAAAAGGGCACGAAAAAATAAATTTTCTCAAAAAAGACAGGAACTTAAAAAAAATTAAAAAAAGTCCAAAAGATTTTGTGACCGCCCAATATACCAATTAAGCTATTTGTAATCATTAATAAACTGTCAAAATTTACCTTCTTATTCTAACGATATTGTAGCAGTTTTTTATTGCCTAAAAACACGGACAAAAAGACATTTTCTAAAAATAAATCCTAGCGAGATCGATTTATTGCCCCCGAAACTCCCAGCACACAAAATTTTATGAAAATCGTTGGAGCCGTTTCCGAGATTCCAATTATATATATACAAGAATTGCTCATTTAAAGGTATAGGATTGAATATTTTTTGACAATCTTCGCTAATGCATGATTGAACAAGTTATAACTTGTGCGCACCACCACTATTTTATAATAAAACGTAAGATCTCTATAGTGTTGTTTAATTTACTACATTTGACATACATAATTAAGTATGAAATGAAATAATTAAAAAATCCGGACTATAGGGGGTCTTATGCAGTCCTCTATAATCCGACAAATTCGATAGTTCGACACTGCCCTGCAAAATGTTTGTCGGACTACCGGGGGTCCACTGTATATATAATCGATCGTAGAATATCATCTTGGCTAACCCCGCTGATGTGAAAGACTATGTGTATACACTACTAGACGGGCTCTACGATCTTAATACGTTGCGCAGTAAGTTAAGGTCGATTCTCCGTAACTGTTTTAGTCGCCTGCGAGCGGCGCGAAGACTAGTTCTTTGTTTTGTAAACCGCGAACGCTGTTTTCGACATTCTAACGCTGATTTTGTTTAATGTGACTAAGAAAACGCGGTCTTCATTTATGTGCGCATTTTGTCCACGTGATTTAAAGATTATTTGAGATAAGTATGTAATTTTGTTTCGTATTTGCATTAACATCTCAAGGGCCATAAAATCCCATGCGGCAAATCCCAAGTGGTCGCATGCGACCGCACCCACCCACACCATTTAAAACCATTATATCTTATATTTAGAGACTACTTTTCTATGAAGAAGTTTAGCAATACAAAATCTATACAAAATTCTCTGTCCTGAGGTCTAAACACAAGTCAGGTTTTACTTCATTACAAAAGACTATTGTATTTTGATAACAAAAAATAACATACCAAGCGAATGTCGGCAACGTGAAAATCACAATTATTTCTATACATTACTCGAAATTATTTAAGTAAAAAGATAAAGTATATTCACACAAAAATTTGTTATAAAAACACAACATTTACAATTTTATAATAAAACACTATACTAAAACACTAATAATACAATAGAAAAATCCAAAAATCAACACAATAACATTCACGCGAAATTGGCGTCCGAAATGAACGTAGATTATAAATAAATAGTCATAGGATAACAGTATTTTTTAGAGAGAATAACAGAAGGATAAAAGAATTTCATATTGATTATATAATGTTAAACTTCTTCATAGAAAAGTAGTCTCTATATGTAAGTTTTTATTGGTTAAAGTGCTGTGGGTGGGTGCGACCTCATGAGACCGCTAGGGATTTGACGGAATATGGCTGCGGTCTCATGAGACCGCTAGGGGGTTGAGGGGTTAAACACTGAATGTCATAAATTAAAATACAACTGCCAACATGCGTGGCATATTTACTGTGCCAGCAATCCGCTCGCGCGCTATCCGTACCTGTGACACAATTTCTGTTATAAATTGCCTATCTAGTACACATAGAAGCCTTAGGCTGATATGCGAACGTGTTTGTTTAATAAGTTCGCTAACTTAAAGATATATTCAAATTTCAACGCACCCATCACAAACACAAAAATGTTAACTTCACGAACTATAACTTAGTAAAATTCAAAATAGGCCCGAACACACTCTTAGACACGATGACAGGAAAGTTTGCATTATCAAACGACGTAAATGCAACAGCGAAAGTGAACTGTAAGGCGTGCGGCATAAGGTTCAAGTTCACCTATCCGCATGCCCCGGATCCAGGTTCATGGGCGAACTGTGACGCGAGACGTTCTCCCGCCTGCGATTGCTGTCGAGATGCAATAGGCAGCCGACGGCACCGAAGTAGCTGGAAATGTTTATATCATAAATTATATTTTCTTTGAACATTTCGTCATGGGGGTTATATTGCCAGGTGGCTCAGAACAGTGCATTGTGTAGTTGTTTGAGAGAGGCCTCTGTTAAACAGTGGACTAGTAATCGACTGTAATGGTGATGAAAAGTAGTAAGGGCTGTAATTATGAAGATGATGACGATATGGTATTTTGGGTAAGAGATTTGGGGGGAGCCTTTGTTTTACTATGCGTGGTAGAGCCATGCTGCAGTTATATTAGTAGTATAGTTGTAGCACGAACGGGTCGGCCCGACCGGGGAAGGACCACGCTCTCACAGAGTACCAGCGTGAAATAGCAGCTTATTGCTGCTGTGTTTCGTATGGTGAGTGTAGAGAACCGGAGAACATTTTTACTGGAAACGAGGCACTCCATCTTAGTCCTTACGGGTGACAACGCATCTGCATTTGGCCATTGTTTAGCAGTGGATTTGTGAAGGTCCGTAATGATGATGATGATGATGTATATAAGTGGATGCTGTGGTCCATAGACACCTTCATGTAATCTTGGTTAAGATTCAAAATGTAGATGCGTGGTCATCCCTGTGGACTAAACTGGAATCCGTCACGATGGTGACAGGATGTTGCGGAGGCTAATGCCATTTTTTCTCCAATTTTGAACCTCACTAGCATATCAAAAGATAATCCGTCTAATACAAAACCAATAAACTAATAATGGATATCGACGCTATACAAGAACGAAAAAGCAAGTCTTCCTTCTTTTTTAGCTCAAAACAATACAATTTTTTACATTGAGTTATATGCAGTGTTGCCAACATTAAAATCTAGCTCCTGTTGTAGAGAACACTATAATCCCGTCAAAACCCGTCTAGTAGACATTTTCGAGTTTTCATTCCCCCTAAATATTAAGAATGAATTGATTTGATATAGATTCTTGACACACATGGATTATTTTTCAGAATTCAATCTACCAAAGTATATACATATATCCGTTTTATAATACCCAACAACCGTCCCGTTAAAAAATCCGTTAGCTGTTAAACACAATTTTTTCCCGTTGCCAACCTCGCTGACCCGTCAAATCTAGCGGGAAACCCGTCAAGTTGGCAACACTGGTTATATGTACTACGTACTAGAGAAGCTACCAAAAAAAATGTGCTCTACTCTGTGTTCGCGCATGCGCGGGAATCAGTAAAGTCACGCATTGCGCAGTTGATATAAACGCGCGAAAATTGTCATAATAAATAATTGTTTATTCAGATTGTATTATTAATCGTGTACATTTCTTTTTAATGTTCGTTTATTTTGCATATGTGCTAATTTAATATAAAATTTTTATTAACGCCGCTCCGCACTACATGCATATCGAAGCCACGATGATAACAGGTGTACGGATTGCAGTGCAGTTCAGTTGAAAATAGTGAGTGTTCGGAATGCAAAATCTAGTGCGTAGTGCATATATATCGATGATTTTTAACAAATTTTAAGGTGGTAGAGTCACGTTGCAGTTATGTTATGGTTATAGTACGAATGGGATGGCTCGACCGGGGTGTGTTTCGTACGGCGAGTGAAGAGATCCGGAGACCCTTATTAGTTGAAACGAGGCATTGCATCTTAGTCCTAAAGGGTGACAACGCATCTACACTTTGATTCTCAATGGAGGATAAATGTAGCATCCATTTACCATCAGGTGGTCTGTGTACTCGTTTGTCAGAATTATTCTATAATAATTTAAAAAAATATATACTAAATTTTAGTTTGGTTAACCAATACATAATAATTGAAACTAACCCTTCGTGCTCTAGGAATAACGCCTTCAAAGCACCACGGGACCAGTAGCTCATGGCGTACGACAAAAGCTTCATGGACAGCGGGTTCACACGCAAGAAGTTCCCGCAGAACACCACCTGGTTAACAAAACTGTAATGAAACCACTATCACTAAATCAGTCCACTGTTGAATATGAACTTTACCAAAAATTTACTTATTTTATAACTAGCTTTCACCCGCGACTTCGTTCGTGTAGAACTTAAACAAAAAATCCTTCAGATCTAAAATAGTGGTCTTTGAGCAATTAGTTTAACTATGAAAAAGCAATTTATGGTAAATTTTTTCGCTTTTATCTCTAAACTAAATTTAATTTTGGAAAGTTAAAAATATATTTTTTTAATCTGCTGAATTCACGTAAAATAAGGTCTTACCGTAAATGGTGAGGAAGTAAACAGATAAAAAATTTAATTTTGAATAAAAACTTTAAGCAGCATTGAACCATAGTATTGACTAAACAAGGAATATATTCTGTGAATGTAACATCTGCTGTGAGAATATCCACTGCCCCATCCCCGTATCGTCCCGTGGGTGTCGTACGAGGCGACGGAGGGAAATGAAAAAGAACATGGGTAAAAATCAAGTCATACTTAGGTCTATTTTAGTTTAAAAAGATTTAATAAGATATGTATATTATTATAATAGTATTGTCTTACGATATAGATACTAACATATTTGTGTATATGTTTATAACACGGTCACAATATCTCTACACTACTGTACTGTAGTACTAATAATGACGCGATCGTGGCGAGCGCGGAGTGGTGAGGGGGACGCGAGAGGGGCGTCGCATTTCAGCGAGGTGCAGAGATAATGGCTGCGTTTGGCAGAAAAAAGCACTAGCAAGCGCTTGTAAGCAAAATGGCGATCGTAAGCGGTAAGCGCTGTCAAATTGTAAGTAGCTATTTGCCTCTAGGACACGAAGTTAGCTTTAACCGGGGAACCTAACCTTATTTGAATATATGTTTGTAAAGTATTCATGTTAAAAACTTACCAATCATGAATTTTTAATAACATGTATAATATGTTTATTCATGTCATTATATTACTTGAAACTAATATTGCACAAAACAACTTATAAACTCTACTTCAAAACAAAGTAAATAAGCAAAATGGCGGATTGTGTCAGCGCTACTGAAGTTAGCAAACGTGTCCTGGCCGAAAACTGTTTAAGTTTCACCATTTTGCCTGCAAGCGCTTGCTAGCGCTTTTTTCTGTCAAACGCACCAATTGTGACCGTGTTTTTAACATATACACACATATGTAAGTATCTATATCGTAAGACAATACTATTATAATAATAACATACCTAATATCCTATTAAACTAAAATACATATAACTAAGACTTGACTTATACCCATGTTCTTTTTCATTCCCTCCGTCGCCTCGTGCGAAACCCACGGTACAATATAGGAGTACTGGATATTCTTACACCAATACAACACAGCAAAGGTTACATTGAGAGAGTATATTCTTTGTTTAGTCGAAACGATGGTTTATAGCTATGTTAGGCTCTTGCCATCCGTTGGCGCTGTGGTAGCTTAATAAATTTTGTATTCACCTTTTACCGCGCAGTGGCGGTGTATGAATATCCACTAACTATATCATCCCGTGGGTGTCGTAAGAGAGATCGACAGAGGGAAACTAATCAGGGGAGCAGGACAGCAGCGTCTCCCTAATAACGACTTAAAAATAAAATACTGCAGTTGCCAACCCGTTTGCCAAGCGTGGCAAACATAGAATATTACAATACACAATAGAATGGCTGTCAACTTTATTTTATACGAGCATTGGCGTCGCCAAACCCGATTCGCTGTGTTGACAGACTGAATAAATTTACACATTTTAGACTTTTGATTAATGTTCAAGATCATTATTAAATTTTAATACATATTTATTTGTAAATAGAGTGCAATTTGGCATTTTCTAAATAATTTGCATGCGAAGTTTGGAAAAGATTGTAACGTCATGATTTTGACATTTGTACGTGTGAATTGACGTGTTAGTGACTGGTAACGCGAGTTAACAAACTACTTTATCAACATTACATTACATATCACATTGAGTTCGTCCTAAGTTATATCTACTTTATCAACATAATGAAATGACTAATGCATATTTGATTCCTTCCTTCCTTCCCTTTCCTACCGCACGCGCTGCCGCCGAGGTGAAGAAAAGGATCTCGGCGCGCGTTATATTAAGTGACATTACGTTCTCCGCAACGCACGGCCAGCCGTCGCGTCTTAGATATATTAACCGCAAACCGCGCAGGACGAACATTAAGTTCTCCTGTTTATGTTTAATATTCACCGCATCAGACATTCTGTCTTTGTAACTCATGAAAGTGTGAGACGCCCCCGTAAGGGCAAAGGTCGAGAGTGTGGGACTTCACGAAACTGTTCCGAGAGTGCGTGTGCGCCGAACCACGTGGCGAGCCCGCTGTATAGCACACTCCAGGAGGAAGGCGAGGCAGCCCTCATCAGGTCAGTGCGTGCTATCCTACCTATTTATTTACCCCTTTGTTGTATGCACCAAAAATTACAGTCCACTAAATACTTAACGAAGATACCTTAAGTTAGTGGCGTCTCCAGTGACATTTTAGTGGCTACGCGGGCTCCGCCCACTCCCCCCGTTCTATTATGTATATAGAATAGTATTCTATGGCGGCAACTATAGCAGATATCCTCTCCACGAGGCACTCTATGGGGAGGTTTGTGTGCAGCTGTGTATATCAATAGACTGTAACCCGGCAACACATGTTGGCCAAGCCTCAGCCAACGCGAGCGCAGGCAAATTGATGCAAGGCGACTGCTACAGTCTACACGTTGGTCAACTTCGAAAGAGACCAATGCCAAGGCCAATGTTCTTGAGTTTTTGTGGAGCTGTCCACATGTTGGCCGTAATTAGTCGTCATTGAGAAGTGGAACGATATGGACGACATAGAAGTTATTGCAGCTTCTGCTATTTGTTTAATGAGTGCATTTGATTATTATGTCAGTGTACTCCCGCAGCAAAGTTATTAAAAAGAAGAGGCGGGAAAGAAGGTGGTGAATGCATGAATGAGTATTATAAGTAAAACAATGGCTGCGTTTGGCAGAAAAAAGCGCTAGCAAGCGCTTGTAAGCAAAATAGCGAAACTAAACAGTTTTCGGCCAGGACACGTTTGCTAACTTCAGTAGCGCTGACACAATCCACCATTTTGCTTATTTAATTTGTTTGTTTTGAAGTAGAGTTTATAAGTTGTTTTGTGCAATATTAGTTTGAAGTAATATAATGGCATGAATAAACATATAATATATGTTATTAAAAATTCATCACTTAGAAACATATATGTAGGTTAGGTTCCCCGGTTAAAGTTAACTTCGTGTCCTAGAGGCAAATAGCTACTTACAATTTGACAGCGCTTACCGCTTACGATCGCCATTTTGCTTACAAGCGCTTATTTCTGCCAAACACAATGGACAAATGGGCTGTCTAGACGTTGGTGCCCGCCTTCGCTCGGCCAACATGTACTTTACATAGCCGGCTTTACGTGAACGGTAATGTTAGGTTCATAAAAAGTATTAGTAATCGCGCCATCTACCGGAAAACGCGAAACGCCTGTAGAGCTGGCAAATTTATTTAATAAAAATGAATTACCCGTTGGATGTTCTCGTTGGAGGCGCAGAGGCGCGCGATGGAGCCGATGTTGTTGGTGATGGTGACGAGCGTGGCGCGCGCCAGGTCCTCGCGCGACACCTTCGCGCGCCGCTCCACCGCGCACATCTGCCCGAAGCTGTCACACGGTATCATTAATATGTGGCCGGGGGTTAATCTACTTCTAATTCTAACATTTTAACATTTTCAGTGGGACTAGAATAACACCTGTTCTACTCTCCTCTCCGGCGAGCAGTTTGACGAATGGCTCTGGGGGAGAGCGCAGGTCGTGGTGATCCCCAGGGCAAGTCCGAAGAGTTCTTCCTTCACTTTTATTTGATTTGATTCAATAGGAAATAGACAGAACAGAAACATTGAGACGGTCCGATTTTTCTTTTCTTTTATCCCATCCCCTTTTTACAATTTACATGTGGTAGTAGTAGAGCCATGCTGCAGTTATATTAGGAGTATAGTTGTAGCATGTATGGGTCAGCTCGACCAGGCCCGTGACAGCTTAGTTCTATTCTACGCAACTTGGCGCCACCGTCGCAATTTGTTCTCTGTCTACGGACGCCATTTTGAGACGCCATATTCTGTTAATGTCAAATCATATTGTCAAAAATCAAAATTTATTGCCGCCGTTAATTATCCAAATTTTCCTCAATTACAATATTCTGTTTTTGTGCTGCTCGTGTGAACATTGCAAATACCATCATAATGGTATACGAAAAGTGTTGTGTTGGTGGTTGCAATACAACACGTGAAACGCACCGGCTTTTCAGATTCCCTAGGAACGATAATTTAAGAAACTTGTGGATGTCTTTCATAGTGCCGACAAATCCCCAGCTCATTGTACTTTCCAAAGAACAGTTACTTAACAAACGTGTCTGTGAAGAACATTTTGATATACTTATTTCAGTTCGACAATGAAGGCAGAAGACTTCGTTACTCTTACCCGTCCTTGCTTACTGACAATGATGAATACTGAATAGATCATGGTGTGCCTCTGACTGCAACAGGTGAGTCATTTTATTACTTTCAACCCTGGTACTTAAAGGAGAAGGACACGTCTCTATACATTCTTGGGCCCAAGTATTAACAAGATAAAAGTACGACCATTTGTAAGCATATACTATATAGACAATTTATAGCTGAAAATGTCGCAAGATTTGTCAATGTAGGAACTGAGTTATTGTAGAATAAGTAAAAGAAGTGAGATTATCTATTGGCTGCACTGTAACAGGTGATTTATCACCATTATTACACAGTTACAGGCTATTTTTCACTATAATTACTTAAATATATAAATGCAGAAGGAGTAAAAAATCACCAAAAAAGCTGTGGTTAATAATGAAACGATATGGTGAAACGATTAATGAAAGTTAAAACAACAACAACTAAGTGAAGTGAATAAGTATTAGGAATTCTGATCTTATAGATGTGCCAACTTGGAAAAATTATGAATTGATTTTGTGTGAATTTCAACTCGAGTTAGCAGTACGAATCCGAGTAAATGATTCTATCTAGCTCTTCGGTGGGTTGAGATAATTATAATTACCTTTTTATAACTATTAAAACTTATTATGTTGGATTGATATAAAAAGGTATATTTAGTATATTTTTGGTTTAATCTTAGTTATAGTAAGTACTTGTATTTAACAACAAAACTAGCTATATAGCAGTCTTCATGAAATAATATTAGTCTAGCTTTAAGATGTAGGTACATAAGCTATTAATAGTTTAATTACAAAAGTTTGAAGTCAAAATATTCTTAAATAAGTTCAATATATTTATTGTGAGTTAAGTGCTACATTTGGCATTAATTTAAAGTATGATTACACTATATTGATCATAATTAAGCAAAATTATAAAGGGAATTAAATTACACAACTAGCTATAATAAAATTCTAAATAACAAATTGTTTATACCAGTAATATACCTGCAGCATGGCTCTACCACATACAATTGCCATATAACTAAGTTATATGATAATATAGATCACTTTTAATTACCATTATACTAAACTGTTGTTAACAGTAGCCATACAGCATTAATACATACAATAAAGAAGTATAACATTATATATTTATTCTTTAATTTTGGATTTATGTATAAGAACATAAAATTCACAAACATTGTTTGTTTTCAGGAATAGAAATCTAATGCTGATGTGGTGAGACAAATGTTGCCAGAAGATAACAAAATGTACACATTGGCATAAAGGTATGATAAATTCAGTTTATTCTTAGGCATAATTAGGTAAGATAAGATAACATCCATTATATCTATATTCAACATATCTATCCTCAAATCACGATTAGAGTTCTTTGTTCTTCATCTAATCTAAAGATTACAGTTCCACTACACTTCAATGGTTTTATCAACAACTCCTTTAGTATTAAGGTTACACTTATTTGGAACTCCGTGCCTGAAGACATTGAGAAAGCTCCTGATAATAGATATATACCATGTTAATATTTATATGTTTTTTATTTCTTATTTACTGCATCTACCACTTTATTTTCAACACACCATGGGTTGACTGATAAAAAAATGCCAACTGCCATGAAGCCACCCTTTGTTACTTTAATGTTTACATTAAGTCATAAAATATGAATATTGGACTTTATTTTTATTTATTTCTTTTCAGGTTACGTGGTGTAGAAAATGAAATTAAAGAAGAGAAGATGTTTTTTTTAATTTTTGTAAAAGAATGGCCAGGTGTACCCCAGATGAAAAATAAATAGCATTGCTTCTAATAAAAAATAACTTGAAAAGTAAAATATTAAGCACTTGAATGATTCCTGTGGATTAATTTGCTTTATTTAATGAATTATAAATATTACTCTGTTTCTCATCAAATTGTACTTATTTATGTAAAATGTTATGCACAATTTTCTAATTTGGTTATATAACTTAATGTACTTTTAATTTAATCCTAAGATTACGTTTGTATGTATATGATGTTAGTGTGCTTCAATAAAAAATAAATAAATTAGATGTATTATAATTGTTTCATTAAGTATTATTATTCCTGTATAATGCACTTATGTCGTCATCATCATCATCATCATTACAGCCCTTCACAAGTCCTCTGCTGAACATAGGCCTCCCCCAAGTAATGCCACAAAGCACGGTCCTGAGCCACCTGCATCCATCGACTTCCTGCATGTCTTACCAGGTCGTCACTCCATCTAGTGGGGGGTCGCCCTACACTACGCCTACCGGTACGAGGCTGCCACTCGAGAACCTTTCTTCCCCATCGGTTATCGGTTCTTCGAGCTATATGGCCGGCCCATTGCCACTTCAGCTTACTAATCCGTTGGGCTATGTCGGTCACTCTGGTTTTACTGCGGATATCCTCATTTCTGAGTCTATCACGCAGAGAAACTCCGAGCATAGCCCTCTCCATAGCTCGCTGAGCGACCTTAAGCGTCCTCATACGGCCAGCAGTGAAGGACCACGTCTCAGATCCGTAAGTCATCACTGGCAACACGCACTGGTTGTACAATCTAGTTTTTAGAGATTGAGGTATACCTGACGAAAAGATATGCCGTAATTTCCCGAACGCTGCCCAGCCGAGTTGAATCCGTCGATTGACCTCTCGGTCGAAGTTGGACTTACCTAGTCGGACTATTTGTCCCAGGTAAACGTATTCGTCAACAACTTCGAGCATAGTGCTCCCAACAACTACCGGCATAGGTGTGACATGGACATTGAACATGATCTTTGTTTTGTCCATGTTCATCTTAAGACCTATCCGTTGGGAGGCACTATTGAGGTCATTGAGCATAGTGCTTAAGTCCTCCAGCGATTCTGCCATAAGGACTATATCGTCGGCAAATCGAAGGTGAGTGATGTACTCGCCATTGATGTCAATACCGTATCCTTTCCAGTCCAGTAGCTTGAAAACGTCTTCCAATGCAGCGGTGAAGAGTTTCGGGGATATAACGTCACCCTGTCTTACACCTCTCTGCAGTTGGATAGGTTTCGAGCTCTGGTTCTGTACTCGGATAGCCATCGTAGCCCTACTGTACAAACACTTCAGCACTTCGATATACCGACAGTCAACTTGGCACCGCTGAAGGGACTGTAGCACCGCCCAAATTTCGACGGAATCAAAGGCTTTCTCATAGTCCACATACGCCAGGCAAAGTGGCAGATTGTACTCTTCAGTCTTCTGTACAATCTGCCGCAGGGTATGTATGTGGTCTATGGTACTGAAGCCTTTTCGGAACCCGGCTTGTTCGGGAGGCTGGAAGTCGTCAAGTCTGCGTGCGAGACGATTCGTAATGACTCTCGAAAACAGCACGTAGACGCGGCTCAGGAGGGAAATCGGTCTGTAGTTCTTTAAGAGAGCGTTGTCGCCTTTCTTAAAGAACAAGACCACCGCACTTCTGCTCCACGCCTCTGGAGTAGTGCCACCATGGAGGACGGAATTGAAGAGCTTCTGAAGGACTTCAAGTACCGGTGTTCCACCCGCTTTCAGAAGCTCCGCTGTAATTCCATCCTCGCCTGGGGCCCTGCCGTTTTTAAGGTGCTGGAGAGCCATTCTAATCTCGCTTAGACTGACGTCCGGGATATCATCGGAATAGTGTCGGATAAGACTTGCTCTTGGATCGTTACTCACACTTGCGTGTGGCTCCAACGATGATGTGTACAGCTGCCCATAGAACCTCTCAATCTCACTCAAAATCTCAGGTGTCCCGGAAACGATGTTGCCACACTCAGTCTTCAGCCTTGACAGTTGGCTCTTTCTGGCAGACAGATCTCTGGCAAAGACTTTGGAGCCCTGGTTCCGCTCGATCGCTTCTTTAATACGAGAAGTATTAAAGTTGCGTAAGTCTCGCCGTATGCATTTGGAGATCTGTCTGTTCAGTTGCCTGTATGCTGTCAAATCTGTTGACGATTGCAGCCTCATCTCCCGTCTAACAGCCATGAGATTAAGAGTGTGATCGGAGAGTTTTTGTGTTCTTCTGCGGCGGGTCTTGCAGAACTTAGCTCCGACCGCATGGACAGTTTCCACGAGCTTGTCGTTCATATCGTCCACTGCATTGCAATCTTCTAGGCACTGGAAGCGGTTACGTAACTCGAGCTGAAAGGTTTCGGGATTCTGGATTAGAGCACGAGGGGGACGGAGCGTTGACTTCATTAGACGAGACCTCTCCAACTTAACGTTTAGGTTCAGTGTGCCTCTAACCATTCGGTGATCGCTGCCAGTTTTCACCCTTGCGATCACTGAGACATCACTGAACAGAAGGCGTCTGGTCGTCATAATGAAGTCAATCTCATTTTTTGTCGAACCGTCAGGGCTCGACCAGGTCCACTTCCTGTGGGACCGCTTCTGGAAGAAAGAGTTCATCATAAAGAGTCCCTCTTTCTCCTTAAAGTCGGCCAGCTGCTGGCCCCTTCGGTTCCGTTGCCCTACTCCAAATTTCCCTACCTTCAGCTCACCGCTTTCTCTTGTGCCCAATTTTGCGTTGAAGTCTCCCATCAACACCGTGTAGTAGGTTTTGGAGGAATGTATGGCTCTGGAAATATCCTCATACATTTCCTCCACCTCCTCATCGGGATGTGCCGAGGTTGGTGCGTAAACCTGAATGACCTTCAGCGAATACCGTTTGGTGATTCTGAGTATCAGGTACGCGACCCTCGTCGACACACTCCCAATCTTTACAACGTTGTTGACGAGAGATTTGTGGACGATAAATCCGACACCTCCTTGGGACAGATGGTCGCCCTCCCGGTGATAGAACAAGTTGCCGGACTCGAGGATTGCCGTGTCCTCCCCCTCTCTTCGGACCTCGGATAATCCAATAATATGCCAGCGCAACTTGTCTACCTCTTCTTCCAGCTCCAGTATCTTCTCGTCAGTCCTCAGGGTGCGTGCGTTATATGTTGCCAGGTCGAGTCGTCGTAGGTGGCAACCGAACCTCCACCGGAGATTCTTAGCACCCCCTGCCCCGCCGTTACCATGGTCGCCACCGTAGCCAGGAATAGCGGGGCCGCCGGGGACTGGGGGCCGTCTGTTTGTGTATTTATTCATTGGGGGGTATTTGCCATAGTTGCCACGCTTGGCGAGCGGGTTGGCAACCGCAGTTTTTTATTACGTCACAGTTGTCATCAGGAAGACGCTGCTGCCCATCTCCTGCCTGTCTCCCTCTGTCGCCTCTTACGACACCCACGGGAAGATATGGGGTAGTGGATATTCTTAACCGCCACTACACGGCAGACTTGTCAATGTCATACTTTATTGGCATGCCAAGGACCTAATTAGTGCATGCCCATAAAGTATGACATTGACAGGTACTGTCGTGTCTGTACTACTAAGAAATTCAGGACTTCATAGGCGTGATTTTTACTGACAGCTGTCGCAGAGATCAAGCTGTCTTTTATGAACTATAATGCTGCTGTGTTTCGTATGGTGAGTGTAGAGAACCGGAGAGCCCTTTTACTGGAAACGAGGCTTTCCATCTTAGTCCTCACGGGTGACAACGCATCTGCATTTTGATTTGTGATCGGGGATAGATGTAGATGTCTATGGGCCGCAGCAACCACTTACCATCAGGTAGACTGTGTGCTTGTTTGTCACCCTTCTTCTATAATTTTTTTTATAGTGCATCCCTAACCGAATACAGTTAAGAAATTAGGAAAGCTATGCGAGGAAGTTGAGTCTTTGCTTCACAATGCAAGATTGCACAAAATGCTATCGAAAGTTAAACCTAATCGAATCGGGCCTCTTAAAAAGCCTGATGGTAACTTCACTAATAGTGAAACAGAAACAATGAAGTTACTAGCGTCACCACCATTCTTTCAGAGCCCTATGAAGACCTTGTAATGAGGACTGGTGTAGGACTGCAAGGATAATAAGGCCAAACCTTGTGCAGTGGACTGTTGACTGTTTTAAACCATATAAGATAAGCAAGGAGGATGAAAAAATTCCATCCAACTACAGAGGGGTATCGATATCCTTCTTGCCTATCTGATGAAAATCTTCAGAACAAGTTTGCTTGGCGATATATTCCAGAACGATGGACAATTATCAAAGTTGGAAAGGACTATGCTTTACCAAAGTCCTGTAGATTGCTAGATAGCAATAAGACCGCTTTTTGTTTTCCCCACATTATTTGCTTATTTTTCTTATTTTTATCTTAACAATTTCTTAATATAATATATTTCGCGAACACTGCACATTGAATGAAACCACTTTTACGGATTTTGTTTCGTTTAATTATGTTGATTATAATTTCCGAGGTATTGGGACGTTTAGCAATTCCACAAGATGGGAGCGTCTGGAGGCCAATAACTTAAAGTCATCCATATAGAAAAGGTGGGTCACTTTTGTACCTCCTTTCCCAAGCTGAAAACCCCTTCAGGAACCCTCCAGTAAAGTACTGAAAGGGTTCAAAGAGAGGCAGAACCAGATTGGACTCAGACTTCTTATCCTTATGTAGCTTTCCGCAGCCATCATCCGCTCGCCCAGATGACAAAGGATCGTACTCCACTGCTCCATACACTGCTCGAGGAAGTCTCTAACTGTACAGTCAATCTTGTACAGCTAGAGGAAACTCTTTAGCCATGTATGGGGCACCAAGCCGAATGCCTTTTTGTAATGGGACATCCTTTCCAGCACCCAAGGTCACGAGGGCTGAGCTGATTGACGTCCCAATGTCAGTGTTACCCGGAGTACCTTTAGCTTTATAATTATTACCTATGGTCCGATCTACGCAGAATGTTCATTCATTATCGTATCGTAAGTTCATTATCATATCAATTAAACGCGACAAAATCTGTAAAAGTAGTCTCATTCAATATTTTCATCTTTCCTCAGTGTACATAAAGAGTATTGTATTTGTACCTGCTAGCGACCAAATCCCCGGGCAGTCCGAAGCGCGCGTAGTCCCCGCCGTAAATGTCGCGCACGAGCTTGTCGACGGTGGTGTTGTCCCCGGAGGCCGCCAGCGCGATCGCCTCCTCGAAGCTGCTGCAGCCGGTCAGCAGGCAGCAAAGACCCAGGAACGTGCCGCCACCCAGACTAAATGCAGCAATAATCATATTCATATTAATTTGTTCCAAATACAATGGGTGCGTTTGGCAGAAAAAAGCGCTAGCAAGCGCTTATAAGCGCTAAAATAGTTTTCGGCCAGGACACGATTGCTACTTCAGTAGCGCTGACACAATCCGCCATTTTGCTTATTTAATTTGTTTGTTTTGAAGTAGAGTTTATAAGTTGTTTTGTGCAATATTAGTTTTAAGTAATATAATGACATGAATAAACATATACATGCTATTAAAAACTCATGATTGGTAAGTTTTTAATATGAATACTTTACAAACATATATTTAAATTAGGTTAGATTCCCCCGGTTAAAACTAACATCGTGTCTTGGAGGAAAATAGCTACTTACGATTTGACAGCGCTTACCGCTTACGATCGCCATTTTGCTTACAAGCGCTTGCTAGCGCTTTTTTCTGCCAAACGCACCCAATATACATTGTGTGGATTTCTTTTTAATAGGATAGGGTGACAAACGAGCCCACAGTCCACCTGATGGTAAGTGAATGCTGTGGCCCATAGACATCTACATCTATCCTCGATTACGAATCAAAATGCAGATGCGTTGTCACCCGTGAGGTAGCCCTCACGCGTGACAACGCTGGATGGAATGCCTCGTTTCCAGTAAAGAGGTTCTCCGGTGCTCTACACTCACCATACGAAGCACAGGAGCATTAAGCTACTATTTTACTCTGGTATTCTATGAGAGCGTGGTCCTTCCCCGGTCGAGCCGACCCTTTCGTGCTACAACTATACTACTAATATAACTGCAGCATGGCTCTACCACTTTGGGGTACTGTGTATTATGTATATATACTGGATGACCTTTTTACTGTCTGGAAAAAATACGGTGTAACATGTGAACGGTGTAGAAGCCTATGGCACTGATGTTTTACAAAAAATAAAAACAAAAATTTTGCACTAAAATGTTTGAAATTTTTTTGAACAATTACTTTGCCTTTTGTCCTTGAGCCTGTGACCCTGTAAGTGGCTTTTGAAAAAACTAAGATTTGACAGTTGTTCTCAATAAATAAAAAGGTATGAATTCATATAGTGTTTTAATGGTGAAATCCCCATAAACACACAATGCAATGATTTTCTTTTAATTATTTGTAAAATATCAGTGCCATAGGCTTTTACAGTCCTCGCGACGTAAGCTGAGCTTTGCATTTGTGTGAGTGATCGCCAAAAGTACAGTTAGTAAAAAATCAATGTTTTATTAAAAGTTAATGCTGATATTTTGATTATCCTAAATTATAGTAATAATAGTAATAAACTACATAACAATATTATAACTCTTCTTCTCCGCTCATTTGCATCTTCATCTTCACTCTCGTCTGATGATTCATCAGAGCCTGTTTTAATAATGAATCGCTCCGATAAACCGTCGATAGCGGCGTCTCGACCATCAAATGCTTTTTCTTCTTTAACTGCACGGTCACAAACATTTTTCCACTCTTGTGCAATGATCGCGTCAACTTTTTCCTTTGTTAATCTCATTATAGTGTCCATATTCATTGACACGTTTTTTTTTAGCTACGTACCCTTTTACCATTGCCCATATATTTTCAATAGGATTGAAATCAGGGTGGTAGGATGGTAGACGTAGAACGCTGTGATCATGTTCTTGGAGCAAATTATCAATTTTATAATCAACAAATCTTGCTTTGTTTTGTAGTATCAACTGACAAAGTTGTGGTTTAAGCATCGATCCAGAGTGATCGATATTTCGATATTTGAGCCAATCAATCATAGCTTGTTACGATGGTTTGAATTGGGCGCGGGATTTTGATACGAATTGTGGTATGATGCATTGTCAACCACCACAACACTATTCGGTTTTAAATTTGGAATTAGCTGCGTTTGCAACCATTTTGTGTAATTCTCGGTGTTCATATTATAATGATAGTCACCACTTTTTTGGTTTGCCTTGAACATGAGTAGGACATTGGGTATGAAACCGTCCTCTCCGCCGGCATGAGCTATTATTAACCGATTTCCCTTAGAAATTGGTTTCTTTAAACCAGAGGTGCTTCCATCTGAATAAGATTTCGACGAAGTGTGAGACGTGTCTATATATGTTTCGTCAGTATAAACAATTGGGCGGCCCTGCGATATTCGGCAATTTTAATGAGAAACATTATTCGAAGATATCGTATTTCATGTTTCTCCATAAGGATTCTGCGATTATCTTCTGTCCTTTTCCACTTGAATCCTAATAGAGATACTTCTTTTCTTAATGACGAAATTGCACCTGGATAATTTATTTCGGACTTTAACTTTTCGTGTAATATTTTCATAGTGGGAACCTGATTGTCGGTGATGTGAAAGTTATGAAGTATTCTCCAAATTACCGCTTTATCAAAATCATCGATCACAATGGTATTTTTCCTGCATCTTTTGTTTTTTCGGAGATTTAAATTTGCCTCCATCTTCCAAAGCATATTTACCTTCTAATAAAACCTTTTTTTACAGTTGGCAGCGGAATTCCCGTCGATGTCGCTACCAATTGGGCCGACGTAACGACACTTGACATATCCTTGTCGTTTAAATCTTTGAAATACGTATTCAATTTGTAAATAATTTCTTTTGTTTGACTGCTTAATGGTCGTTTAGTCAATTTACTTACAGTAGGAGCCATTTCACAAAAAAATCGAACACAACCACAAAAAATTACACGTCTATCTGCTAGCGGTACCAGAGGTGAAGTGGGGAATGTTCGCGGCAGGGAAGTACGCGTGGAGGATGCGCCACGCCGCAGGCCGCGTTTTAAAAACCAGTATAAACTGGTTTAAACCATGCGCGGGACGCGCGCGCCTCAAGCCGTATCCTACTGTATACTATCTGTGTGCACTCACACAAATGCAAAGCTCAGCTTACGCCGCGAGGACTGTACACCGTTCACATGTTACACTCTATTTTTTACCAGACTGTCAAAAAGGTCATCCAGTATATATATTATGTCTGACATTCGTCAACTGAGTCGGAAAAAGTCGAGCCTCTTGAGAGCTTTAGTAGTCTAAAGTTGGACGAAAATAATGTAAGACTGAATTGTTCCTCTTAAAAGTTCTGAAAAAAGTCCGGTGCACTATGTTTATCTTCTAAGGATAGCTCACAGTAACCATTTTTATATAAAAACTCTCGTGCGACTAAGTATGGGGTTATGCGTAGTGGAATACTCCGCATGCGATAGCCAATCAATAAGAACACAAACGCATTGCATTGCATTGAAGAAACTGGAAGGCCAGCATAATGGACACGGATCCACCGATTCTTTGCTGAGCTGGGGCCATCTGTTCCCGTCACGGAGCAAAACCTGCTAGACCGAGTTCGGTACATCTTGAGCTCAAAAACATTTGATAATAACGAATTCGAACGACTACGATGTGAGGCTATTCCCTTATCGAATGAACCGACTATTTTATATGATGAGGATAGAGAAACGAACCGGCATGTAATAATAAATGACAATGCATCATCTGGATTTTGATTCTTAATTGAGGAAAGATACGGCCATAGACCACAGCATCCACTTACCATCAGGTTGACAGTGTGCTCGCATGTCACGCTTGTTCTATAAAAAACGACGGGTTGCACTCCGGGAGTGCCGGCAGAAGTGAAAACTTGAATATTAACGTTGTGTATTTTTGATATTTTGGAATGGTTAGGGAATAATTTTGAGCGAATTGCTTTAATTATCAGTACTATCATTTTGGTGGTAGAATACAATATTTATTCATTGCGCTATCGTACACAAACATGACAATTTATATTAGGTACATTCGTGCAAGCGCCCTGCGCCGCCTAAACGAAACCACAGGGGATACTTCCTCTCCTACGCCGCGCCGGCTGTCTCTCTCTCTCCATCCGTCTTACGAATTTTCGATCAGGGTCACGTGTCCTGACGCGAGTTTAACATTTTTTACCCATTACAAAAAAGTGTACAACGCCGCTAAAGAAGTTTTCACTGCAAAAAAGCTAAAAAATAGCTTTAACATGTAACTATTATTAAAAATCAAAGATAGATCTAGAGATATCTCCCATCTACCGACAGATGGCGTTATCCGTCGGACCTTACATACACAAACCGGTAACGGGAAGCAAGTCAATCGCCAATACACCTTCATAGCGTAGCGATTGAGGCGATTTTACCCACAGTAATAACGCCACGTGGTCATACCTAGTGCCGCTGACTCGGTAGTAATCGCTGGGCCCGTTCACGACCAGCATGGAGACGCCACTGCCGATGTTCACGAGCAGGAAGGGATACGGCGACGAGAAGTCGAACGGCTTCCGTACGTACGCGCTCAGCGCTTCCGCGGAGTACGGTGGCTGAAAGAAATTTGTATAATATAGTAATTGGCCTCAGTCTTCTAATTTTTAACCCTTCAACCCCTAAGCGGTCGAATTCGACCGCGGCGCTATTCCGTCAAAATTCAAGCGGTCGAATTCGACCGCGCACACCCACAGCACTTTAAACCATTAAAACTTATATTTAGAGACTACTTTTCTATGAAGAAGTTTTGGATTATATAATCAATATGAAATTTTCTATCTTCCATTGCAATAAAAAATAGTTATGCTATAGATATTTATTCATAATCTACGTTCATTTCGTACGCCATTTTCGCGTGAATGTTATTGTGTTGATTTTTGGATTTTTCTAGTGTTATTAGTGTTTTAGTGTAGTGTTTTATTATAAAATTGTCATGAAAGTTTTTATGTGAATATAATTTATCTTTTTACGTAAATAATTTCGAGTAACATATATTGAAATAATTGTGATTTTCACGCTGCTGACATTCGCTTTTGTTATCAAAATACAATAGCCTTTTTGTAATGAACTGAAACCTGACTTTTATATAGAGAATTTTGTATAGATTTTAAATTGCCAAACTTCATCACAGAAAAGTAGTCTCCAAATATAAGTTTTAATGGTTTTAAGTGCTGTGGGTGGGTGGGGTCGCATGCGACCGCTCGAGATTTGCCGAGCGCTTGCGACTGCATGAGAATTTTAAGGGGAATGAGGGGTTAATTTATTAATTCTATTAATATAGTTCTTTTATTTTTTTGTGCTACTTTTTTGGTTTTTTTATTTCAATATAATAAAAAATAATAAGTACTCGGAGGTTTGGCGGGAACTTAACCGGCAAAAAATTAAATGTGTGAATTTTTCTTCATTATTTGCTTATATTACTTAGTCTGAACCTTCTTCACCTGTTATTGCAAAATAACCCTGCATAATAATATTTTTCTGTCCACAAATTTTTAGATCGTATTCCCCTTTTTAGGACCGATCTTCATAATAATGCTGTTCACAGTTCGTTCTCGGTCCGATCTCGGTCTGATAAAAATTATCAAGTAAAAACTGTGTGTGTGCATTTATACTATCCGTGACGGTCAAGTTTCGCTCGAATCCCATTCCCATCAGACCGAGAATGAACTGCGAACGGCAAACGATAGGCTCTTACTGATTTAATTTTGTTAAAGTTTGTATAGTATAATACATTTCAATTTTCATATATTAATAGATCTTGATTGTTTCTTTCTTATAATATTTAAGTATTCCGAATAAAAAAATAAAAAAGAGGAATCTGTGCAACTCACCGTATCAGTAGGGTGTTGATGAACGGGCTCCTCGTTTGGAGGGGCCCAGTAGTAGCACTCTTGAGCGTTCATTGAATCCACGAACAGTACGCCGGCGATCAGTGCGTCCAGCTCGTCTAATTTCGATAGTCTCATGTTCACTTCCTGGAAAAGAATTTTTCTTTTTTAAATTAAGAATGACTGCATAGTTAGCCGTGGTAGCTCAGATGGTTAACGCTCGCTGTAAATATAACATAATGCGAGTAACCCGGGTTCTATCCCCGCCGGCACATGAAATTGTTAATTGCAATTTTAAGTGCTGATTTACCACGTGCTCGCCGGTGAATGTAAACATCGTGAGGAAACCTGCATGTCTGAGGCATAATAAAAAAAATACGTGTGGCACTCGGTGACTGCCGCGGTAAAGCTATTGCATAGCATTTTTTATCAACTTATGCAATTATAATTATTTATTTATTTTATTTATGCAGTTAAGTCTTTGATATTAAAGTGGTGGTGACCGATAAGAAAACAGTTTTTTTTCTCTTATTGAATAAATGAGAAGTTAATATTGTTTAAAATATTTTTAATATCTTACAATACATGTAGGTTATTCAGGAATTTTTATCATTGAGTTAGCAGCTAGTGTACACGCATACGTCTAGTCGCACGCACACAAAAACTGAAACGACGTTAGACGATGCACGGCTTTCAACGCCACACCTCCGTGCCCGTCGGAGTGGGGAGAACTCGTGAGGTTTTTTTCGTTACGGAATTTCTGGATTCGGTCCCCGCGCTCAAGGCCCGCGATAGAAGCTATGCAATAGTTAAAAAATTATTTCAAAGACATGTGAAGTTCGCCAACATGCATTGGGGCAGCGTGGCGGTCACTTCCCTGCCCTAAAACCCTCTCAGTAAAGAGGAGAGGCCTGTGCCCAGCAGTGGGACGTATATAGGCTGTAACTTTACTTTTTACTTTTACATAGTTACTTCTTTGTGGTTAAATTATACACGAGTGTCCCGCTGTATGTGTAAGAATATCCCCAACCCAAATGATCCCGTGGGTGTCGTAAGAGGCGACGAGGAAAACAAATCTGGAGATGAGCAGCAGTGTAGTGTTGGAACAATGTAAGAAATTAACTCTTTCGAGTTTGATTTGTGTTGTTAATTGTAACATACACGATTTAAGCTCTTATTTTAAAAAAATAGTCCCGCTGGGTTTCTTGCTGGTTCTTCCCAGGACAGAGGTTTTTTTTTGCGAACTTATAGTAATTAAAAAAAGTGGCTTTCAATAAGTGTTATTTATAATCCATATTGAATAAAAAGTTTCTGTTTAACTCTACTGTTTATTGATTTGAAGGAGACTTCTATACAGTAATTATGACATAGGTACATAGTAGGTAGGAAGTAGGGTTTGTGGTACGTGGTTCCAGGTAGAGAGATGTGAATGGTGTCTTCTTCTATAAATATGAACTACTGAACTAAATAGTTATTAATTCTACCTTTCATGAAGACACGCGGACTCCTTACATGGAGTCCATATTGAGTGATGATATCATTTAACCTCTGAACCCCCTAGCGGTCTCATGAGACCGCGGCCGTATTCCGTCAAATCCCTAGCGGTCTCATGAGGTAGCACCCACCCACAGCACTTTAACCCATAAAATTTATATATAGAGACTACTTTTCTATGAAGAAATTTGGCATTATATATCAATATGAAATACTCTATCCTACAGTGCAATAAAAAAACATTTACATTTAAATACATACATACATTTAAAAAAAATACAACAATACAATAACAAACATATATTTAAAAAAAGCATTTATTTATAATCTACGTTCATTTCGTACGTCATGTTCGCGTGAATGTTATTGTGTTGATTTTTGGATTTTTCTAGTGTTTTAGTATAGTATTTTATTTTAAAATTGTAATGAAAGTTTTTATGTGAATATAATTTATCTATTTACGTAAATAATTTCGAGTAATATATATTGAAATAATTGTGATTTTCACGCTGCCGACATTCGCTTGGTATGTTTTTTTTTTGTTATCAAAATACAATAAAGTCTTTTTGTAATGAAGTAAAACCTGACGCTTGTTTAGACCACAAGATAGAGAATTTTGTATAGATTTTATAATGCTATACTTCTTCATAGAAAAGTAGTCTAATTATAAGTTTTAATGGTTTTAAGTGCTGTGGGTGAGTGCGGTCGCATGCGACCGCCCGGGATTTGCCGGGCGCATGCGACTGCATGGGATTTTTATGGCGCTTGAAGGGTTAATATTCTAATTACATAGTTTTGACATAGTACCTACACCACAGCAGCGTCTTTAAATAACAAAAAAAAATAAAAATCAGACATTGACAAGCAATTTTAGCCATTATTTGAAAGACGCTGCGGCCCATCTCCTGATTTGTTTCCCTCTGTCGGCTCTTATTTATGAACTATTTAAAAAAATCATTTTAACTCATCCTAAGTTACTGAACTAATATTTTTTAATATACACTGTTGTTACACGCACCACGTATGTAATAACGAAACCCTTGTTGATAATAGGAATCGAGCATGGGACAGTGGTCCATCCCCGTTCGAGCCAACACATTTTTGCCTCAACCATTGTATATAGTCGCAGCCTCTTTCTAGCATGAAGCCATTAATACGTTGCACAAAGTTTAAACTTTTCCACAAAAATGAAACCAAACTTGGCACAAAGTAACAATAACTTGATCTCTTATAGATGGTGGAACCACGCTGCAGCTCCATATATTATGGATGTAGCACGAGTGGGTCAGCTCAACCGGGGGGAAGGACCACTCTCTCACAGAATACCAGCGTGAAATAGCAGCTTAATACTGCTGTGTTTCGTATGGTGAGTGTAGAGAACCGGAGACCGTTTTTTACTGGAAATGAGGAGTTCCATCTTAGTCCTCACGGGTGACAACGCATCTAAGTTTTGATTCTTAATCTAGTGCAACAGCATCCACTTACCATCACGTGGACTGTGTGCTCGTTTGTACACCCTTATTCTATAAAAAAATTCTAACTTCTCTACATGATGTGATCAAAATAGTTAACTAAATTTACAAAAAGGAACTTTATTTACAACCTTCTTAAAGTCTTCCTCAAATTTATACGCCCCGCCTCCAGTTGCGTAAATAGTATTGACCAAGTCGGCCATGCCCTTGGAACGGGCTAGTTGGAGAAAGGCGCCAACTTCGCTGGTGGGGAATCTGATGAAGTGGAGGCTGCCGCGACGGCCTCGTATCGTTACGTTCTCCATCTAGAAAGTGATAATTATTTTTTTTAATTAGACAATTTTAAACATTACAGATAGTGTTTCTCAAAACGGGGAATAACGCCCCTTTTTGGCCGCTAGAGGCCTCTAGGGGTTATTAAAGAGCCCAGAGAAAATTAGAGGCTGTTGAAGTGGTTTAGGGAGGCGATGGTCGATTTGTGATTTTATAATATTTCAATTAAAGTATATAAAACTTTTGTTTGCCGGTTCTTCGAGCAATATGACTCATTAACATTTCCGCGTACTAGCTTGTTAAGTTATGTCGGTTACTCTGGTTTTCCTGTGGATATTCTATATAAATTTATCACGCAGAAAAACCACGAGCTCTCTCCGTATCTCGCTGAACGCCTTGATCTTCAGATGTTTAGCAGTGGAAGACCACGTTTCAGATCCACCGACAACCGATGTTTGTTCTAGTGGCAACCTTATACCGATAAGTGTGTAAGTCGTCGCATTAAGTGGTTATTTTACGCTGACATTCTGTAAGAGCGTTTTCTACCCTAGCAAGGCCGACCCATTCGTGCCACTACGAAAATACAACTGCACCGTGGCACTGCCACGTACAAGATATACATTTATAGCAATTCATATAAGATAGTAATGTTAAAGACGTTATAAATTAATTATTTAATATCCGCGTAATAAAATAAAGTGATGTGTCTTAGTTTAGTTTACGACGGACTGTTTTCCGCAACTCCACGTCGTTTTTGGTCCGCGAGTATTAGGGTCAGCGCACACCAAGAGCAGAGCAGAGTATTTTCTGAGAACACTAAAATATTAATTTTATGACTATTGACAGACAGTGTAAAATTATATACACGTCCAAACGTGATGCTCGACCATGCTCGAGCTTGCAGGATGCATGTTCGAGCGTGCGCGAGCGCGCTCGCACCGCCGCCGCCGGCGCTTAGTATTGCCGCAGCGATAAAACTGTTTCGACGTGTGTTTAGTTTACACTTTATACCTATAAGCGCGTCACATAAGTCGGAATCATGGATGAAGAAAATTTGATAAGTTTGGTGTAGCGTTTTGAGTGTCTGTACAATATATCATGTTCAACATACAGCGATCGTATGTTAAAAGCCAATGCTTGGGAAAGAATCTCCACGTTTCTTCTACCCATACTGTTTATCTAATTTTCTGAAGTCTGATTTCATTAATATGTTCTTCATGTTCCTCTCTCTGCCAAAAGGGCGGTAATCACCAAGTCATCGTCACCAATCATCATATTGAACACGTCTATCAACGTCGGATTTTGGCATCAAATTGGTAATGCACGCCCCCCTAGCAACCCAGAGCACTTTTAATGGATCTTGCTCACGGAGGCGCGCGGATGCCGCCTGCATGGTCGAGTAGTCAAAATTTTGCTCGAGCATGCGCGAGCCTTTTGCAGCTCGGTCTGCGCTTACCCTTCGGCGTGTGGGCAGGAATAATGTGACTATTCGAGCCAAGAAATCTCCCTGAAGAAGTTCAACAGTCTTTTGATGTTGCGAGCAACTTCGGGGAGCGATCACGGCGCGCCGAGAGGTTTAGCCTTGTATGAAGAGACTTCTGGACATGTCAGCAACACATGAACCGCCGTTTCTTCCTCTCCCATGCATCCCCTGCACAGGGGACTGTCAGTAGTACACCTATGGTGAACAAATGTTTGTTAAAAGAGCCATGTCCTGTGATAGCACTTGTTACTATCCTGATCTGTGGCTTGTTCAGTATCATTAGAACCTTAGTGATGTATCTTCTTTTATCTTATTACGCGGATCTAAGCTAATAAATTTTTAACGTATTTAATTTTATGGATTTCCGCAAAGTAACGCTTTAAGAATCAATTATTAAAATAAAAATTATCAAAATAATTACGGTGAGAAGAATAAAAACTAACTTGCAAATGTACATCTCGTCTTCCAGTCTTCCCGTAAGCAGAGTTCCTGGTAAGATACCGCCTGATATTCTTCAAAACTTCTGTTTCTTTGTCCAATTCCCGGCGATTGTTCTCTCTCGGCTCGAAGTACACCAGCTTAGTGAGTGTGCCTCCAATGTCCATGCCGAACCATGGCATCGCTGAGGGCAACATATTATGTTGTCTAATATAAAACATAACATAATATAAATACTCACGCCTGTCACCCAGAGGGGTAGGCAGAGACTACGGACTTCTATTTGGCACGATCCTGACACACCTCTCTCGCCTCCTTTACATCCATATACCTACGCATACATGCTCGTCGGTGTACTTCTAATGTGACCCATTTTCAAAATATCGCCAATTTGATCGATGAATTTTCGTCTAGGGCGTCCCTTCCCGACTTTGCCGTTCACATCTGCCATATAAATTAGCTTTGTCACTCTTTCCTCATTCATTCTTTCTACATGACCAAACAACCGAAGCATTCCTTTCTTAATCCTGGTCACCACATCATCTAATATATAAAAATGAATATTTGTTTGTTGTTTTGTTCATCATCAGGAGCCGTGGCAGCTCAGATGGTTAGCGCTCGCTGTAGTACGCTGTAGTACGCGAGCAAACCGGGTTCGATCCCCGCCGCCACCAATGAAATTGTTAATTGCAATTTTAAGTGCTGATTTACCACGTGCTCGGCGGTGAAGGAAAACATCGTGAGGAAACCTGCATGTCTGAGGAATAAGAAAAAAAAATTATTTCAAAAACATGTGAAGTTCGCCAACACGCATTGGGGCAGCGTGGCGGTCACTTCCCTGCCCAAAAACCCTCTCAGTAAAGAGGGGAGGCCTGTGCCCAGCAGTGGGACGTATATAGGCTATAACTTTACATTACTTTTTACTTTACTTTTGTTCATCTTCTATCATCGGATGATTATATAATAAAGATCTTATACCATTTAGTCTATTAATAAAACATAGACTGCATTGTCCAGTAGTGGAAGCAACTGCCTGATAACAATTCAAAATAAAAAAAATCTGTGATTGCCAACCCGCGTGTTAAGCGTCAAGCAACATTGACCAAACCACCCCTATAAGGCAATCTATCGGGGAGGCTTTTGGTAGTGAACTTTATAGGCTGTAATGGATGGATCGAATATGTATACCGGAAAAAATTTGGCTGAGTTTACTGCTGGTTCATCCCAGAACGAAGGTTTTTTTCCCGAACCAGCGGTAGCTCCATGTGCCCGTGGACAGCAGTTAGTCACCATCTGGTGGACTGTAAAGCTCGTGGGTCATTTAAATATTCGGATCAGGTGGGATGGTAGTCAATGAGTGGCTTATAAAAGTTTAAAAACAGAGGATATAAGTGCAAGCGAATTTCACCTTTAATCCCTTAACCTCTCAACCCCCTAGCGGTCTCATGAGACCGCGGCCATATTCCTTCAAATCCCTAGCGGTCTCATGAGGTCGCACCCACCCACAGCACTTTAACCTATAAAAACTTATATATAGAGACTACTTTTCTAACCTAACTAACCTAAAAAGAAGAAGATTGGCATTATATCATCAATATGAAATACTCTATCCTCTAGTGCAATAAAAAAACTGTTATCCTATGAATATTTATTTATAATCAAACAAGAAAGTTTTTATCTTTTTACGTAAATAATTTCTAATTATATATAATTAATAATGAATAAATACACAAACAGACGGCCCCCAGTCCCCCGGCGGCCCCGCTATTCCTGGCTACGGTGGCGACCATGGTAACGGCGGGGCAGGGGGTGCTAAGAATCTCCGGTGGAGGTTCGGTTGCCACCTACGACGACTCGACCTGGCAACATATAACGCACGCACCCTGAGGACTGACGAGAAGATACTGGAGCTGGAAGAAGAGGTAGACAAGTTGCGCTGGCATATTATTGGATTATCCGAGGTCCGAAGAGAGGGGGAGGACACGGCAATCCTCGAGTCCGGCAACTTGTTCTATCACCGGGAGGGCGACCATCTGTCCCAAGGAGGTGTCGGATTTATCGTCCACAAATCTCTCGTCAACAACGTTGTAAAGATTGGGAGTGTGTCGACGAGGGTCGCGTACCTGATACTCAGAATCACCAAACGGTATTCGCTGAAGGTCATTCAGGTTTACGCACCAACCTCGGCACATCCCGATGAGGAGGTGGAGGAAATGTATGAGGATATTTCCAGAGCCATACATTCCTCCAAAACCTACTACACGGTGTTGATGGGAGACTTCAACGCAAAACTGGGCACAAGAGAAAGCGGTGAGCTGAAGGTAGGGAAATTTGGAGTAGGGCAACGGAACCGAAGGGGCCAGCAGCTGGCCGACTTTATGGAGAAAGAGGGACTCTTTATGATGAACTCTTTCTTCCAGAAGCGGCCCCACAGGAAGTGGACCTGGTCGAGCCCCGACGGTTCGAAAAAAATGAGATTGACTTCATTATGACGACCAGACGCCAACTGTTCAGTGATGTCTCAGTGATCGCAAGGGTGAAAACTGGCAGCGATCACCGAATGGTTAGAGGCACACTGAACCTAAACGTTAAGTTGGAGAGGTCTCGTCTAATGAAGTCAACGCTCCGTCCCCCCTCGTGCTCTCCAGATCAGATCCAGAACAGATCCAGAATCCCGAAATCTTTCAGCTCGAGTTACGTAACCGCTTCCAGTGCCTAGAAGATTGCAATGCAGTGGACGATATGAACGACAAGCTCGTGGAAACTGTCCATGCGGTCGGAGCTAAGTTCTGTAAGACCCGCCGCAGAAGAACACAAAAACTCTCCGATCACACTCTTAATCTCATGGCTGTTAGACGGGAGATGAGGCTGCAATCGTCAACAGATTTGACAGCATACAGGCAACTGAACAGACAGATCTCCAAATGCATACGGCGAGACTTACGCAACTTTAATACTTCTCGTATTAAAGAAGCGATCGAGCGGAACCAGGGCTCCAAAGTCTTTGCCAGAGATCTGTCTGCCAGAAAGAGCCAACTGTCAAGGCTGAAGACTGAGTGTGGCAACATCGTTTCCGGGACACCTGAGATTTTGAGTGAGATTGAGAGGTTCTATGGGCAGCTGTACACATCATCGTTGGAGCCACACGCAAGTGTGAGTAACGATCCAAGAGCAAGTCTTATCCGACACTACTCCGATGATATCCCGGACGTCAGTCTAAGCGAGATTAGAATGGCTCTCCAGCACCTTAAAAACGGCAGGGCCCCAGGCGAGGATGGAATTACAGCGGAGCTTCTGAAAGCGGGTGGAACACCGGTACTTGAAATCCTTCAGAAGCTCTTCAATTCCGTCCTCCATGGTGGCACTACTCCAGAGGCGTGGAGCAGAAGTGCGGTGGTCTTGTTCTTTAAGAAAGGCGACAACGCTCTCTTAAAGAACTACAGACCGATTTCCCTTCTGAGCCGCGTCTACGTGCTGTTTTCGAGAGTCACGTCTCGCACGCAGACTTGACGACTTCCAGCCTCCCGAAGAAGCCGGTTTCCGAAAAGGCTTCAGTACCATATACCACATACATACCCTGCTGCAGATTGTACAGAAGACTGAAGAGTACAATCTGCCACTTTGCCTGGCGTATGTGGACTATGAGAAAGCCTTTGATTCCGTCGAAATTTGGGCGGTGCTACAGTCCCTTCAGCGGTGCCAAGTTGACTGTCGGTATATCGAAGTGCTGAAGTGTTTGTACAGTAGGGCTACGATGGCTATCCGAGTACAGAACCAGAGCTCGAAACCTATCCAACTGCAGAGAGGTGTAAGACAGGGTGACGTTATATCCCCGAAACTCTTCACCGCTGCATTGGAAGACGTTTTCAAGCTACTGGACTGGAAAGGATACGGTATTGACATCAATGGCGAGTACATCACTCACCTTCGATTTGCCGACGATATAGTCCTTATGGCAGAATCGCTGGAGGACTTAAGCACTATGCTCAATGACCTCAATAGTGCCTCCCAACGGATAGGTCTTAAGATGAACATGGACAAAACAAAGATCATGTTCAATGTCCATGTCACACCTATGCCGGTAGTTGTTGGGAGCACTATGCTCGAAGTTGTTGACGAATACGTTTACCTGGGACAAATAGTCCGACTAGGTAAGTCCAACTTCGACCGAGAGGTCAATTGACGGATTCAACTCGGCTGGGCAGCGTTCGGGAAATTACGGCATATCTTTTCGTCAGGTATACCTCAATCTCTAAAAACTAGATTGTACAACCAGTGCGTGTTGCCAGTGATGACTTACGGATCTGAGACGTGGTCCTTCACTGCTGGCCGTATGAGGACGCTTAAGGTCGCTCAGCGAGCTATGGAGAGGGCTATGCTCGGAGTTTCTCTGCGTGATAGACTCAGAAATGAGGATATCCGCAGTAAAACCAGAGTGACCGACATAGCCCAACGGATTAGTAAGCTGAAGTGGCAATGGGCCGGCCATATAGCTCGAAGAACCGATAACCGATGGGGAAGAAAGGTTCTCGAGTGGCAGCCTCGTACCGGTAGGCGTAGTGTAGGGCGACCCCCCACTAGATGGAGTGACGACCTGGTAAGACATGCAGGAAGTCGATGGATGTAGGTGGCTCAGGACCGTGCTTTGTGGCATTACTTGGGGAGGCCTATGTTCAGCAGTGGACTTGTGAAGGGCTGTAATGATGATGATGATGATTACGAGTATAATAAAAAATCCTTAAATACTAAATACTCTGATACTCTGCAGTCATTCGATTCGCCTCTTCATGCGTTTAATTTAAACTATTTTTAATTCTCGACGTTTCGGGTGCTTTCCAGTACCCATGGCCATGGGGGACTGAGATGACTGACGTTCAGACGTCAATGTTAACCTGGAGCACCTTCAGGTTTTTAATTATTATTTAGGATCCGATGTAAGCAGAATCAACTAACTTTGTCTTGAAGTCCTGCAGTCGTATACTTGGGTAAATATCTACACGGGCGATAGCATGGGCTGACATCAAAGGCGTTTCCTAACAATATGCCTCTTTAAACTGTGGTATTAAGGCAGCAGAACCTGTTTTGCAGTATATATAGAAGTAATTGTAAATGTATACATATATTTTTGTGATTAATTATGTACATACGTGGCGCGTTATTGTCCGGAGGCGTGGTAGGCGTCGGCGGCGGGGGCTCCGCCATGTTGTCGGCGCGTGCGGCCCTCGCGACTTGTGTTTTGTACGGTGAGCGGCGTGCGCGTTCCAGGAGACCGCACCTAAGATGTAAATAAACATCTTAATATTTACACGATGAGAAGACTAAACTTTGTGCCAAGTTATGAGCATATTAAGCGCGCTAAGAAGTGTCAGATTTGGCAAAGTTTTAGAATAAGGGTGGCAAACGAGCCCACAGTCGTCTGATGGTAAGTGTATTTCTGTGGTCCATCGAGCCCTCGCAACTTTTGTTTTGTAAGGCGAGCGGCGTGCGCGTTCCAGGAGACCGCATCTAAGACGTAAATACACATCTAAATATTAAAACGATGTGAAGACGGACAAATGTTGGTATCAATTTTTAAGCATATTGAGCGCATAGGAGTGTCAGATTAGATATATTTTTTTTAGAATAAGGTTGACAAACGACCATAGTATACCTGATGGTAAGTGGATTCTATGCCTCGTGAACATCCACATCTATCCTCGATTAATGATGCGTTATCACACTTGAGGTCTAAGATGGAATGCCTTGTTATTAGTAAAGTTTACGATTCTCGACACTATACGAAATACTGTAACATAAAGTTGCTATTTCACGCTGGTATTCTGTGAGAGCGTGGTCCTTCCCTGATAGAGTCGACCCATTAGTGTTTCAATCGTAATATAGCTGCAGCGTGGCTCTACCACGTATAAAACACACTTGGGAGGTGGAATTGAAATCTTAAACCTTTGACTATTCTTTTTTTTATAGAATAAGGGTGACAATCGAGCACACAGTCCACCTCACGGTAAGTGTATGCTGTGGGCCACAAACGCCTACATCTATTTTCGGTTCAGAATCAAAATGCAGATTCGTTGTCGCCCCTGAGGACAAAGAAGGAATGCTTCCATAAGAGTTTGTGTGTCTTTCCTGGTTGAATTTTTTTAATTTCTTCCACTCTTGGTAAGTTTGAGTGTAGGAGTGGTAGGTTACGAACCCACGACCTTTTGAGTTCGCGATCAGCGCCCTGCCATTAGGACACTGTCGCTTCAAAGTTACAACCATAATATAGATACAGCGTGGGTCTACCAAGATAGGATAGGATGAAGGTCATTATCCTCTAATGCCGAGCACATATCAGCCTTAAAATTAAAATTGGTAGTTTAAAGTACTTAGGAGTAGGGATGGGCCGAATATGAATTTCATCGAATACGAATATTCGGACGAATGTTCGGTAAAATTTTTACCGAACCGAATATTCGGCCGAACATTATTCGGCAGGGTCACCTCGGTACCCAACCAATTTATGTCGAAACTTGTTACCAAAAAAGCGCGCGAGATTAGCGCCGGACCCTGCCCCTCGCTCCCCGCCACACCTGACATGTTATTGCTTCATCTAGTACTGAGCAAATTGCCGGCACATGCTTATGTTTTGACTATTCTTGTGATAAATATTTCTTTGTTTTATTCTTAGTAAAAATTGATAATTATATGATGAAAACGAGCTGCAGGAGATTTACTATTTGGACTTATTTTAGAAAAACTGACCACCAAAGTAAAGTGAAAATGTACTAATGTAATGTAATGTTTCTTTGTTTGATTCCAAAAATATTTTATCAAGTTTCTATTTACCATAATCGGAAATAAATCTACAGTTCCTCAAAAACATAAATGTATAGATTTATACATTTGAGGCACTCTAGAGTAAGTAGATTTAACCCATAAATAAAATATACTTTCAACAGTAAAAGACATCGCATTACTCAATTCGTACATTGCTTGTACTGGGTATGCCCGAAGAAGCATAAAAGCAAGTTGAATGCAGTGGAGATGCGATCTCTTCGTAAAATGTGTGGCGTTACCATAGCCGACCGAAAGCGAAACGAAGAGATTCGCAATATGGCAGGATTGAAAGATGACCTTATCACAAAAATTGATAGGGGCGTACTCCAATGGTTTGGGCACGTTGAACGAATGAATGAAGACCGAATGGTGAAGAAAATATATAGAGCGAAAATAAACATTAAAAGGTGTCGAGGTAGACCGAGACTAACTTTCGAAGACCATGTGAGCAAATTGCTCGAAGAGGGGAGGGTCAAGAGTACTCGGATACCTAGACGTGCATGTATGAAGAAGATAATGAACCTGAAAGAAGCGATAGCAGAGAAAGATGCGTGTCACGATTGTACCTGTAAGGATCGTGACACTTGGCGATCTGTTCTCTCTGGCTACCCCGTTAGGGATTGTGCGTGAAGATAAGTAAGTAAGTATGTATGTACATTGCAATATATTGGACACTATGAAACCGAATGTTCGGTGATTCAGTCGAATATTCGGCCGAATACAAACATTCGGTAAAGCTGCCGAATATGCCGAATACCGAATATAAAACGAGAATATTCGGCCCATCTCTACTTAGGAGTTTTAATGTACTATGAGTACATAAAAGGCCAGGAGTCTTACTTGGAGAGCGAGCGGGGCAGCTCGTAGGGCGGCGTTGCTCGGCGCTCCGGCCGGCAGGCCGCGAGGCAGCCCTCACAGCGGTGCAGTCGCATCTGTAACCAACGAACGATCATCTCAGTGATAATAAGGATATATTTAATTTAATTTATTTTAATTTTAATTTAATTTACGGATTTTATCGCGTTTATTTCACTACTTTTACTTATTTTTAATTCCCGACGTTTCGGGTGCTTTACAGCAACCATGGTCACCCCCCGTGAGCCGCCTATATTGCAATAATTACCTCAAATAGCGTAAAATACCAGCTTAATGCCGTTATGTTTAGTATAGTACGTTTAGAGAAAGAGAGAAAATTTTGATTAGAAACGAGGCATTCCATCTTAGTTCTTAGAAGTGACAACGCATCTGCATTTTGATACTTAATCGTAGATAGATCTAGATGTCTATCGACCACAGTAACTACTTATCATCAGGTAGGCTGTGTGCTCATTTGTCACAATATTCTATAAAAAAAAACCTACGCTCAACTTATTGTAAGAACTCGCACATCTAAAATCGCAAGATGTTTTTCAAAACAGGCTGTTCAAGGAAAAAAAGATAAGTGCGTTAGTTCGTGTCAAAATGAGCATGGTTTTGGCGTCATTTTAAATGTACGCAGCGCTTCGACTATTTTTCTTTGTCGGGAAGTTATAATAGAATCAGATTTTTAAAAGTTCAAATTTAACAAAAAAATAAGTCGGCTGAATAAAAACATAAAGCATGGCAATTAATCCTGTACAACTCGCGGCACGAAAGTCTAGCAGTGACCGTTATTACGCATAATCGGCCGTATTGCGCATTATTGCGTATGATTGGCTGTGCGTATCGTTCGCACGCGCTGTTTAGCTCTCCAGTCGCATTCCGTGCCCCCTGCTGATACGACATTCGCAGCTATCCACTCCACGTTTCGTTCAGCGCTAGAGTTACGTGCCGCGAGTTGTAAACATTTAATTACGACGTTCATTTCTTCGCTTATCTTGGCAAACAATTACTGTGTGGTCATTTCATTGGCTTATCTCCATTATTTTGACTATCGTCGTGGATAACTTTTGTTAAAGATAATTAGTCTATTTATGGCGCATGTTATAAATGATAAAATACTTCAGAGTTGGCATAATGATTTACTACTGCAAATACTAGAGACGTTGAAATTATTTAAAATATTGTATTAACCGATTTTACGGTTGAAGCAGATGTCCTGGATTAAGAAAGGAATGCTTTGATGGTTTGGACAGATAGAAAGAATGAGGAAAGAATCACAAAACAAATTTATGATGTAGAGGTTTTAGTGGCAGAGTGGACAAGATACGCTAGGTGGAAGTTACCGACTTCCGATATATTGCAGATGTGCCTTAAGCCTTAACCGACTCGCATGTATGCTTAGATAGATACCCGTATAATATATGGGTGTGGATAAAGCGGGAGAATGTCAGGATCGTGCCAAATGGAAGTCCGTAGTCTCTGCCTTCCTCATTGGGTGACAGACGTGAGAATTCATGTATAATATGTAATTTTACGGAGTTTGTTGCGTTTAATTTTAACTTATGTTTAAATCCCGTCATTTGGGGTGTTCCCGCATTGTTTGGGTGCTTAACAAATCGTGCGGATATGCTGTAAGAATATCTACTATCAAATATAGTCCCGTGGGTGTCGTAATAGACAAAGAAATCGATAGATGTATTTTCTAATAAGTAATAACTAATAATAAAAAATACTGTGACCGCTAAGCCGCCTGGCAAGTGTGACAACTTTATACGTGGTAGAGCCATGCTGCAGTTATATTAGTAGTATAGTTGTAGCACGAATGGATCGGCTCAACTGGGGAAGGACCACGCTCTCACAGAATACAAGCGTCAAATAGTAGCTTAATGCTGTTATGTTTCGTATGGTGAGTGTAGAGAACCGAAGACCCTTTTTACTGTAAACGAGACATTCCATCGTAGTCCTCACGGGCGACAACGCATCTGCATTTTGATTCGTAATCGAGGATATATATAGATGTCTTGGGCCACAACAACCACTTACGTGGACTGTGTGCTCGTTTGTCAACCTATACTGTAAAAAAAAGCTATGGAATTAGCCCAAACAACTTCAATTAACTTTAAGGAATTACTTTATGAAGAATATGTATGTGCCCCATATTCTCAAATAATTTGAAATGATTTATGTCTATATTAATTTTGCAATTGCCTGATTTGAAATTAAAGTTTTAAAAATAATCTTATACCGACTTCAAAATCTAAAAACGTGGGGCTTTTATTTGTCAATGCGGTTTGTCTTGCCACCGACTTCAGAAGCAATTATGTCGAAATTATTTTATTCCTTTTAGTTTTTTAAATATGGGTTTCATGCGGTTTGTCTTGCCACCGACTTCAGAAGCAATTATGTGGAAATTATTTTATTCCTTTTAGTTTTTTAAATATGGGTTAACTTTTTTTAATGGGTTTGTTGCGACTTCAGAAGCAATTATTGGATTATTTTTTCCCTTTAGTTTTTTTTTAATATGGGTTTACTTTTATTTATCAATGAGGTTTGCCTTGCCACCGACTTCAGAAGCAATTATGTGGAAACTATTTTATTCCTTTTAGTTTTTTTAAATATGGGTTAAATTTTATTTATGAATGCGGTTTGTCTTGCCACCGACTTCAGAAGCAATTATGTGGAAATTATTTTATTCCTTTTAGTTTTTTAAATATGGGTTAACTTTTATTTATCAATGCGGTTTGTCTTGCCACCGACTTCAGAAGCAATTATGTGGAAATTATTTAATTCCTTTTAGTTTTTTAAATATGGGTTTTCTTTTGCCGACTTCGACCGTGTATTAATAATAATATCCTCAATATTTTTTAGACCGGATTTTAGCCACATCGGCTACTCTCAACGAAGGCTAGTTTCTGCGCAGGTTACGATTATGGTGCCCGAGTATATGCAGCAAGCAAAAGTGCACTCTCTATTCGTTCACTCTCATAGTCCGATTGTAATCCGACACGACCGGAGAGATCAGGCGCAAGAACAAAACCTTCACGTGCTTTCCGAGGCACGGGGTTTTAACACCGTCAATTTATTAACTCCTTTCTACTACTGAGAATTTCTTGACAAATAAACCCAATAAATGATTTTGGCCCAACTCGGAATTCGAATCCACGCTTACAACCCCGTGGTCGTCGTAGAAGCGAGAGAGGGAAATCGAAATATATGACAGCAGCATCATCCTAATCCTATACCTTTAAACGAGCAATTCTTATTTTATATATATATATATATATATATATATATATTTTATATATATATATAACACTCTCTCCTTTCCTCTTCCTAATTAATTCTTTCCTTTTTTTTTTTTTTTTTTTTTCCTTTCTTCCTTTTTTTTTTTTTTTTTTTTTAAATCCCTCTTTTTTTTTTTATTTTTCCCCTCTTCCTTTTTTTTTCTCTTTTTTTTCTTTTATATTTTTTTTATAATCGGAATCTCGGAAACGGCTCCAACGATTTTCATAAAATTTTGTGTGCAGGGAGTTTCGGGGGCAATAAATCGATCTAGCTAGGATTTATTTTTAGAAAATGTCTTTTTGTCCGTGTTTTTAGGCAATGAAAAACTGTTACAATATCGGTAGAATAAGAAGGTAAATTTTGACTACTTATTAATGATTACAAATAGCTTAATTGGCATATTGGGCGGTCACAAAATCGTAATATGGTTGGAGCCCAGACCGACCGACCGACTTTTTTTAATTTTTTTTTTCAAGTTCCTTTCTTTTTTGAGAAAATCTATTTTTTCGAGCCCTTTTTTTAGTATTTTTAAAAACACGAAAATTTAAATAAAACTAAAATTGCACTCATGATTTTTTATTCAAATAACCAGTTCAGTTTTTTCTATTATGTCGCTAAGATCAAAAAATATTATTCGTATTTCATCAGTATGTAATTTGTATCTAAATATAATTTCCAAAACACACGAATTAAAAAAAAACTGAGCGAAAAATACCGAACAAAGCTCGGTCAACCGGGTACTAAAAACTAAAAAGTAAAGAATTGCGGTTGCCAAAACGCATCTTGTTGTCAAGTGCGGCTGATTTGCGAATTTATTTTTTAAACATAAAAAATGCCTACGCATACGCGTCTCGCGGGTGATGGGTTATCCAGCGACTAAAATCCCATGGTGAATCCACCTTCGTTACTTATTGGCAGGGGCACGGGAACGCTTTGGCACACATCCGCGTCCTCACCAGCGTCGGTCGCTTCACGACGGTCTTGAGGAAATCTATGAGACCTATGGCTTTAACAGTAACGGTATAATTTAAAAAAGGTGACAAACGAGCACACAGTCCACCTGATGGTAAGTGGTTACTGCGGCCTATAGACAATCCACATCTATCCTCGAACACGAATCAAAATACAGATGCGTTGTCACCCGTGAGGACTAAGATGGAATGCCTCGTTTTTAGTAAAAAAGGTCTCCGGATCTCTACACTGACCATACGAAACACAGCAGCGTTAAGCTGCTTTTTATACGCTGGTATTCTGTAAGAGCGTGGTCCTTCCCCGGTCGAGCCGACCCATTCGTGCTACAACTATACCTGTAATATAGTATTTACGTGATATCTTCGCCTATTAAGAATTTTAATGGTTCCTTTCTTATTTTCATAAACAGCAGGCGGTGGTACACATATTAATTAGATGGGTACAAAAAATAAAGTCGTTATGATGCCTCTTCGCGCGATTAATACGCACAAATAAAATTGAATAAGAACATGTATTTTTTTTTATTTAACCCCATCAACCATTTGGGTGAGGATGATGTCAGATGGCAAAGTAATAATAAGCAGGCTATGCCACAAAATTTTACCCACTGGCTCAGTTCAATAATTTTTGTAGGTGTTACTTTTCCATACGTCGCACGTAAAAATTAACAATTATCAAAAAACACGTCTGCGAAACATCAACTAAATATAGTATACCTACCTACCTATTGACCTAAAATGAGGTACCTCTTTTATCTGCTACTGTTCATATATTATGTGACATAACAGTAATAGTAGACATAATATGGTTATCG